CTCGCACCATCCGGCTGCACACCCCCCCCCACCACCACCACCACCACCACCACCACCACCACCACCATTTCCACAATATCCGCAGCGGCGGCTCCTGCACCCACTACCACCGCACACAATCTTTACTCACAGATAAACACCGACCACCCACCAACCACGCCAGCGATGTGGACTCGATCCATACCTATCCTCATTGCGACCGCACCCTCACTACACACGTCGGTCTGGCCGGTCACTTGTGAATGCATCGTACAGAAACTGGCGAACTAGTTCCTGAAACATCAGACGCATTCGCCTCGATTACCCTCACTGCACCCGCACATTCCATCCGCCGCATGCGCCCATCCGGTCACATACGAATTCACAAAAATGTGCGGTAGACAACCGCCGGCCATACCACACCATCGTGTCCTCCCCCACCTACATCACAGAACATCATCACCGACCACAACATCCAGCTGCCACCTTCCACGCATATGGGAAGTGTGTGTCTCGGCTCCGCATCCATGCGGCTCCTGCTGCATGTGTGATTTGAGTCTGAGGCTATCACGACGAATCAAGCGTTGTTAGTTGGAAGGCTGATGGCTGACGCCCAACGCAGTCCACACAGACTGCCAGTTGTGTGTGTTTTTGTGTTGAGTGGCGGACTGGTCAGCTGAGAGCCAGGGTGAAGCGGCTTATTATTAACGTTACCTACGACATTCTAACTCGTGTGAGGTGTACGTCGCCCAACCCCGTTGTGTGAAATCCTGGTGCATGTGTTTGGGGGACGAGGTCGTGCATGTGGCGCGCGCAGACAAGGCCACTTTGCATGTCAGCCACCGCGTCCATTCTCCACATCGGTCAACTGGCCGGCTAGGACAGTGGCTGGGGCCTGGGAATGGGAAGGGAGAGTGGGGTGGGCGACTCAACGCATTTTCTTCACTATAAACAATCTGACGCGTTAAAAGCTATCAGGGTGCGTTAAAAGCCGGCGCGATAACTTGGACCTCGCAGTCGACCCAGTGTTGTGTACTTGTGTGGAGTGGCCGACCGGTGGTCTAAGAAACAGGCTGCAATGGCCCCTGCTTAATGTGGCCGTTATGACACTCCTACTCCGTGGGGTCCGAGCCAAGTGTGACATCACGCCTAGGTGCGGCTCCGGCAACTACGCCACTCTTTGGCAGTCGGTTAGAGTCCTGGTCATTTTGCGTGTGGGCCAGGGAGTGTGGAGTGCAGCGTCAAGGTGCAGGCTCAACCGTGCCATCCCCCGCCTCCGGTATTCCTCAATTTGCCTTGATACCGGGTGCAGGTGGGGGAGGAGGAGAGAGTCCGTCAGTTGCAGCAAAAGTCCACATCCACTCTAAACTAAGTCACGCGCAAGTCAACGTGTCCGTTTTACCTTGCTATGGAGCTCACGGTTGACATCGGGCGGGCAGGACAAGGTCAACGGGTGTTAGATAGGGCTCATGGCGGTGATTCCTCCGTTGGGTTACGATGGATCCGTCGGCGTCCGACCATGATGGCCATGCTGTTATTTTTTGGCAGGCTAATATCTCTGCAAGCGGTGGTTGTCCGGACGGGCTTCAAACAGGCGGAGCAGCGTGCGCGGATGCAGGCTTCCTAGTCATGTCATTACACTCCTAGATTTGTGTCAGGTGTCCATGGGGAAACGGCCCGAGGTGGTCAGCTAGTTGTGGGTATATGATCGCTTTCCTAAACGTTTTCTGGCGTGGGAAGCTCAGTGTTAACATCGCACTGGATTCTAATATCCAGCGAGACCAGTAGGGAACTTGGGCGTTGAATCTTGGCCGGTAGTATGCGGTGGGTTCCGATGATGATTCCTCTCGAGGACATAACAGAATGCCGTGCAATTTTTCCGGTGCAGAAACATTAAAAGAGGTCTTTAACTTGCTCTTGCGTTATCGCCGTTGTCCACCATGCCTACGACTACCCGTAGGGTCGCTGGAGCATGTGCACATCTTCCCTTATCAAGCCAGGATAATTCCTTCGAAGATTGACGCGTTTCAGAACACCTCAGTGGCCGGAATCACTTCGGCCACTTCACTTTAAGTATTGTGCTGAAGAACATTTAGGTGAGCATGTCCATGTCTCCGCCCAGTAAAGGAAGGTAGATGAAACGACAACCCTGTGCGTTTTTAAATCTAATGTTAAGTAGGAGGTCAACGCGATTTCGGACTAAGTGCAGCAGCCTACCAAAGGCATGGCTAGCCCTAGTGCTGCAATGTCAACTTCGATGTTGAATGAGATGAGCCTCCCAAGGTGGGGAATTCTGCCAACAGCTACGAGTCGACAATTTACAGTCGTCTGCTGTATTCCTCAGCACCGGACATTTGAGCAACTGAAATCAGAGTTTCAGGGCCCACAGAGCGCCCACTTCGGTTGATAATCAGCAAGCAGTCGCCAACGCTTGCTTTAAATACTTTCGTTCTGACCCGCACAAGTCTGATTTCTAGTAACCTTGATAGCTTATGTTGATCCAAGGTAGGCGTGTATCAACAGGATGAAGAACAGGAGCGAAGGTAGTACCCGCGAATGCGCGATCCTAATTCGTCCAAACTGTTGCCGTCAAGGTCTCGAAAACTGACCAGTCGTTCTGCTTTACATTGTTGAATGGCTTTGAGAAATGAATAGTTGCGAGATGCAAGGACGTTTGCGGTCCCACAGCCTACCTGGAAGGCATTTAAGTTCTAGGCGTGTAATCAAGTGACCGAAAAGGTGGGCAGACATTTTGCCTAAAAGACAGAGAGATTCCACGATGATAGATGGAGACCTGTCGGAATATTTTTTTAAATGGATGGGCGGCGATGTCTGTGACGTACAATGAAACACCAAAGTCAGTCAAGTGTATTTGAGTCTACGCATGAAATCTCTTTCCTGTGTATCGGCTGCGCGGCGTTGGTTATCCCCCAAAAAGACGGTGCAGATCAAAGTTAGTATTTCCTGCCGAAGTAGAAAGTCCAAAGGATGGTATACTTGCAAGTGCGCGGTCGAGTACATTATTGAAGCATCTAACCCAGCGCTCCAGCTTCGAGTAACCACAGCTGAGTGACAGAGCAGTGTGGGGGTGACAGAGACATATCCACTAAGTTCATCGACACGTCTGGTGGGGCAGCTAATTAGTAACGGCTCTACTCTGGCCACCTACTGGAGCATTACGCCTCTAACGCGTACCAGTGGTAGCCTGTTTCCGGGCTATTTACAGCTATTCAAACCGCCCAAGGCGCTCTGACACTCGTGATGCCTGCGCCTATTGGCCGGCTACAGTCTCTTTCATGCCTGTTCTCCGATTATTCTGCACAGAATACAGCGCTCTACCTACCGGCATTCAACGTCCTTGTTATATTTGAGACCGAAAGAGAAGGTTATGTCTATGACTTAAGTTGCCGCGGCAAATCCGTTACAATGGAAAAGTCCTTCAGGGGCATCGTACAAGCGCAAAATAAGTACCCGGTTCGTCAAATCACACACGCCCTACGACCAGGATGGAGTGACACATACTACTCCCAGGCGACCCCCATTCGTTCTTATTTGGTTACAGAAGTCAAACTCTCATCAAGCTTTTAATTTCACTCAAATGCCAACCGGTCGTTTTTGAAGTCTGACGAGCACCAGCTATTATCGATAAAACTGAGTTACAAACAGGCATACAATATGAGGAAGTAAAAGTAGAAAAGGTGGCCAGTAAGGCATTCTCGGGCCAAATGTGCACTGGAAACGACAGAAAAGAAAAACAAAACACCGCGGGGTCTTTAAAAACTAAAATTCAAGCGCAGGAAATAGGTAAAAAAATGAAGGACGATACAATCAGGGTAACCAGCAGGTTGATGAAGTTGATCACTTGGTTGCACGGAACTTTTTGAAGAACTTGATAGCAGCAACGCCAGAAAGAACTATGGGAAGACACACGGGCGCAAACAGCGGCAGGTAGATACCAAACACTTGATCGGACTAAAAGTGAGAGGAAAACAATACACACTCAGCTCTTTAATGTCCTCAGAAAATGATCGCTATTTTGGAGCAAATCAGTCCATTTATAGGTTCAGGCTGAATTTCGATAAGAGTATTTGGGCCAGAGTCCACCAGACGCAGCGGAATAATAGTGTAATATTCATAAACTACTAACAGTCAGTCAGTAGTATATACTGAGATGGCACGATATACCATACTTGACGTCACAGGTACTAGCTGCGGCGTGCCATGCAGTGGCATAATATCGGCAAAACATGTGTCCGGGCATTAAGGCAGTGTAGCGGCACAGCAGAGAGAATAAGTACTCTGAGCGCTACAACCACCAGGTCGAATCCCAAGTAGTAAGGAGAAGACGGAAGACACCAGTATGAGGGGTTTATTGTGCACAGAACCGCGAGTTGTCCTCTCAGGCGACAGTGGCCACTGGCGAAGCCGGGGCTGGTGTTGGCTGCGTCCAGTCATGCCTGAGAGTCTCTGAGACAGTGGTGGCAGCGGCTTTTGTAGGCTCGTGGGCCAAGCTCAAGTGGTGGCCAGTCAATGTGCGTTGCATCTGCCGAGGG